CAGGTGAGAGACAGACAGACAGGTGAGAGACAGACAGACAGACAGGTGAGAGACAGACAGGTGCAGATAGACAGGTGAGAGACAGACAGACAGGTGAGAGACAGACTGACAGGTGCAGGTAGACAGGTGAGAGACAGACAGGTGCAGATAGACAGGTGAGAGACAGACAGGTGCAGGTAGACAGGTGAGAGACAGACAGACAGGTGCAGGTAGACAGGTGAGAGACAGACAGGTGCAGGTAGACAGGTAAGAAAAAGACTGACAGGTGCAGGTAGACAGGTGAGAGACAGACAGGTGCAGGTAGACAGGTGAGAGAGTGACAGGGGGTGTGACAGGTGAGACTTGGACAGGAGTTGGACAGGTGCAGGTAGACAGGTGAGAGTGTGACAGGGGTGTGACAGGTGAGAGTGTGACAGGGTGTGTGACAGGTGAGAGTATGACAGGGGTGTGACAGGGGTGTGACAGGTGAGAGTGTGACAGGGGTGTGACAGGGGTGTGACAGGTGAGAGTGTGACAGGGTGTGACAGGGTGTGTGACAGGGTGTGTGACAGGTGCAGAGACAGGGGCTGGGGGTGTTTGATGTTTGTGTGTTTTTGTTTCCAGCTCAGACGGTTTTGTCGCATCTCCTGACCTCTGACCCCGCCCACAGGATGACGGCCTATCAGCTGCTGGAGAGCACCTGGATCACGGTGAGACCCTCCTCCTCCTCCTCCTCCTCCCCCTCCTCCTCCTCCTCCTCCTCCTCCTCCTCCGTGTGACACATGTGTGATATGTGTACAGTGTGTGTGTGTGTGTGTGTGTGTGTGTGTGTGTGTGTGTGTGTGTGTGTGTGTGTGTGTGTGTGTGTGTGTGTGCGTGTGATATGTGTACAGTGTGTGTGTGCATGTGTGTGTGCGTGTGTGTGTGTTATACATGATTCTGTTGTGTACAGATTTGTCCGTGTGTGTTTCAGGGTGATTTCTCTCGACCCGTGAGACCCACAAACATCCACGAGCTCATGAGTCAGTGGCGCCGAGAACACGGTCAGAACCTCACTGTGACACAGGGGACAGGACAGAGGACAGAGGACACAGGACACAGGACAGAGGACAGAGGACAGAGGACACAGGACAGGGGAAACAGGACAGAGGACAGAGGACACAGGACACAGGACACAGGACACAGGACACAGGACACAGGACACAGGACACAGGACACAGGACAGAGGACAGAGGACAGAGGACAGAGGACACAGGACACAGAGGACAGAGGACACAGGACACAGGACACAGGACAGAGGACAGAGGACACAGGACACAGGACACAGGACAGAGGACACAGGACACAGGACACAGGACAGAGGACAGAGGACACAGGACAGAGGACAGAGGACACAGGACACAGGACAGAGGACACAGGACAGAGGACAGAGGACACAGGACACAGGACAGAGGACACAGGACAGAGGACACAGGACACAGGACACAGGACAGAGGACACAGGACACAGGACAGAGGACACAGGACAGAGGACAGAGGACACAGGACACAGGACACAGGACAGAGGACACAGGACACAGGACACAGGACAGAGGACACAGGACACAGGACACAGGACACAGGACACAGGACAGAGGACAGAGGACACAGGACACAGGACACAGGACAGAGACACAGGACACAGGACACAGGACACAGGACACAGGACAGAGGACAGAGGACACAGGACACAGGACACAGGACACAGGACAGAGGACAGAGGACACAGGACAGAGGACACAGGACAGAGGACACAGGACAGAGGACACAGGGGACAGGGCAGGGCACCAAACTGTTTACACTCACATGTACTTGTATAATAATGTGATAACTCCTGAAATCATGATCAGAGTTTGGTGTATGTGTGTGTGTGTGTGTGTGTGTGTGTGTGTGTGTGCGTGCGTGTGTGTATAAACAGTGTTGTACTGAAGCTGTGTGTGTGTGTCGTCCAGCAGGGGTCAGTGTTTCTGCAGAGTCCAGCCCCAGAGTCGACAGCAGCAGCTCCGCCTCAGACAGCCCCCGCCCCAGCCAGGTACAACACACACACACTGGATCTGTGTGTGTGTGTGTGTGTGTGTGTGTGTGTGTGTGTGTGTGTGTGTGTGTGTGTGTGTGTGTGTGTGTGTGTACAGCTCTATACATGATGTGTGTAAAGTTAAAGTCAGGTGCAGCTCCTCTGTGACTGAGCGTCCTGTGTTTGTTCCACTTCTCTGTAAAGTCTAATGTGAGTTTGTTGGTATAATATTATTTGACTTTTTATTTTTATTTGAAGAACAAACTGGACAACGGCGTCTCCCAGAAGCAACTGAACGAACACAAGCCTCTTCCTCCTCCTCCTTCCTCCTCCTCCTCCGTGCTCCTCTCAGGTCTGTGCACAAACGTTCACTTTCTCTTTCTTCAGACTTTTAGAGTAAATCTCTGTCCTGCTCTTCCCTCAGTCGCCTGCAGAGGGCAGCAAACCCTCAAAGCCAAAGCCCAAAAAGAAGAGGAACAAGGGCCCCAGAGCTGCCCCGGATCAGAGCTCCGGCCCCAACATGAGCAAAAACCTGCAGCTGTGCCAAAGTGTGCCTAACCTGTCTGAACAGGACTAAACTCCAAATATACCACTGTATCTGTGTAGAAGTGTGCTGAACCAGGCCACAGGAACTGGACTAAACTCAAACTAAATCTGTGTTTCCATCAGCTCTGCTTGGTCCTGCTCTGCTCGTCCTGATTGTGTTTCCATTACTCTGCTCAATCTGGTTCCGTATCCATGGAAACTGCCCACAACAAATCAGTATCCATGGAAACTCCGCGGTAACCGTGGACACCACAGCGTCCGGAGACAGAACCTGGGACAGAACAGTTCAGTACCTGCTCGGCCCGAGTTAGAACCTGAGGCGAGCAGAGACCAAAACAGAACCTGGTTCAGTTCAGAAACGCTCCAAAGTGAGGAAAGCAGAGCAGAGCAGAGCGAGAGGAAACTGGACTTTTCTCTGACTCAGACTGTATCTGTGCCAAACTGTGCCGGACCAGGACAAACTACAGCTACACACCAAACTACAGAACTGCAACAACTCCAAAAACAAAGTGCAATGAATCAAGAGGGAAAATCCTGTTTTATCAACAACATGAACTGACCAATGTCCTTTTGAAATGTTCTTTATGTGTGAGATCGATCTCTATGTGCTCTAACGTGCTCTAACGTGCTCTAACGTGCTCTAACGTGCTCTAACGTGCTCTATCGTGCTCTAACGTGCTCTAACGTGCTAAAGTGAGAAACAATGTGAGCGTCTTCAGCGAAACTTCAACTGTGGCTCAGATCGGCTCCTGTGGCGGCTCCTGTGGCGGCTCCTGTGGCGGCTCTTCTTCGCTGCCTCGTGTTTACTGCTCGTGTGACAAACCTTTAGCTCTGTCCTCACCTCCACTAAAGACGAGTCACTAAACCCATGAATGTGAAGAAATGAATGTGCCACACACAAATACACACGTACACACACAAATACACGTGCACACACACATAAACACACAAACACACAAACGCACACACACCAGTCTGATTCACAAAGATTGTTGTTCCCCTCCTCCTGACTCTGACACACAAGAAAATGTGTGAATAGTGAAATAATAAAAACAAGTAATAAAAATACTCTGTGTGTCTGATTTAACATCATAACAGATCATAACAGATCATAACAGATCCTAATAGATCATAACAGATGATAACAGATCTTATAGATGTATTTATTGACTGATTTCAGGAGACGGGGCAGGGCTCAGTCTGCATGAACCTGATGAGGACATCAGGATGTTTGTTGAGCTTGTGTCTCCAGAGCTCAGGTCCACGTCTCGTCTCTGGGCAGGTTCATTGATTGGTTGTATTAATTGACTTTATCTCTCATCTGTTCTTCCTGGAGACCTGGAGCAGGTTTTGGATCAGATCATATAAATCATACAGATCATTTAGATCTTATAGATTTTATATATAATCTAAAATATTCAGAGGAGTTTAAACGTGTTTATGGAGGAGCTCCTCACTCTGACTCTGATGTTTCCTCTGATGAACAGAAAATCAAAACGACTGGAACTGAGCACGACTTTGGTCCAGACTAAACCAAATTTGGACTAAACCAGGACTAGACCAGGACTAGACCAGGACCAGGATTAGACCGTGGCTTTGGTCTGGACTAAACCCGGAGCAGACACAGACTCTCGTGTACAGTCTGTTCTCTCTGTTTTTCTCTGACAGACGCAGCAGTTTGTGAAGCCTCTGCCCCCCCCCCGTGCCCGCGCAGGGACGTGCGCGCGGCCGTGTGCATGTGCGCGCGTGCACAGCGGTATTCCCTCTCTTTCTCTCCTCTGTTTCTCGTCTCTGTCCCTCCTGTCAGTCTCTCTCCGGGTGTCAGACCGGCGGAGGCGCTTCTCCTGCTGCTCATGGACACATCCTGTCTCCTCCTCTCTTCTCTCCTCCTCTCTTCTCTCCTCCTCTCTCGGATGCACAGATCTTAGAGTGTCTTCCTCTCTCGGATGGACAGATCTTCTCTTCTCCTCCTCTCTCGGATGGACAGATCTTAGGGTGTCCTCTCGTGTCCTCCATGAGGTCCGCGCGGCTCTGGGCGGCCCTGTGCCTCGTGCTCTCCGCGTCGTGCTCCAGACACGGTCAGTCTTTTATTCGGTCTTTTATTTTCTTTTAAACATGTTTGATGAAGAGGAGACTAAAGACGCACTTCCGTTTGGATCCAGTGCACGCGGTGAATCACGACTGCGGCCTGACGTCACTGCATCCCGCGGTTTCTATGGAGACAGAAATATTTCATGTAAAGCTTTAGATGAAGTTAACTTATTTATTATTAATGTTTATCACGGACAGAACCACGTGACGTGTACAGAGTCACTGAGGCTACAGGAAGATCTGAGTCTGCGCTGGATTTAGTCTAGAGACAGAGTCAGGCTGGACTAGACCAGGACTAGACCAGGACTAGACCAGGACTAGACCTGGACTAG